GAATATTTCTAAAGTATGTTATTTATATCTATGTATCTTCTTGATCAAACTGAATTTAGTTTAAAATTGTTCATTAAAAACGCATGGTACTAATTGTTAATTAAGCAATTTGTCCTAGTTATTGTTTTTTGCTTAATAATAGCTCAACATTATTAGTTAAAAACCTCAGAATATGTAGGAGACGTATTTCTCTACAATTAGGTGTTTATTTTACTCAAGTCCATACAGTAGTTTTTTAACAGCTTCCAAAAACCATAACAAACTTAAAAACCTTACATAATGTTTTTAAATATTTTTGGCGTGTAACAATTATTTGGCTGGATTTTTTTAGTTAAAACTGTCAAATATGTTCAAGGGCACATTTCTGTAGATTTTTTTTTGTTTTTCACAAATTTTAGCAACAAAAATTTTCAACCTACTAAAAGGGGAATGTTGCTTTAAGTGATAATAGAGTATTTTCTAGTCTAATTTTATTCATGTTTCAATGAATTGATTTTTGGGCTGGGCCATTTTTTTTTCAGCCTTGATGCAATATAGCAGATTTATTTTTAGTTAATCTAAACACATCTGCCTTCCCTTGAAATGTTGGTTTCTAGTTGAGGTTGGAACTTGCTTCGAAGTATTCCTGTTATTAGAGCCTATCCAACTCTAGGCATATTCTAATGAATTGATTTGGGCAGTTTTTCCAGTCTTGATGCAATTTAGTAGGTTTGTTTCTGTCAGTCTATTTGCTTTGCCTATGTTGTCCAATATTGGGAAGTTGATCTCTGAAGCTAGCTATCTTCATCTTGTCTATGAAACACTTGTAAGCAGAGTGACATGCACTTCAGTCAATTACAGAAGTTTCTTTCTATTACCTCTTTCAGGATCCTGATTGATTGAATTATCTCCCTTTATTATAACTGTCTTTATTAGCTCACATGGTGCAGAAAAGTAGGACATATTACTCTATTCATTTCATTTCCCATTATAAAGCCTGACTGTTTTGATTAGGTTTTCAAATGCAATCTTTCTTATGTCTGAGAATTTAGCCTGAAGGAATAGACCTACTTAAAGTTATAATTGTTCAAAGGTTATTAGCACGGCTACAAAGCACCTCATACCCCTTGAAAATTTCAAAATTACCACCCTTGTTGAACACCCCTGCATTAAAATGATATATATGTCTCATAGCTTTATTAGTTGTTAAAGCGGAATTTCAGCTGACTGTGTCACTTGTCAGAAATAAAAGACGATTCTGACCATTTAGTTTACATGATGCTCATGTTGTCGGGAGTCACAGGAACCACAGACATAATTTGGCAAATCAGAATGACGTATATAGAATCTATAAGTGTCTCTGATACAAATACAATGACTAGAAAATCAGAATGACGTATATAGAATCTATAAGTGTCTCTGATACACATACAAAGACTAGAAAATCAGAATGACGTATATAGAATCTATAAGTGTCTCTGATACAAATACAATGACTAGAAAATCAGAATGACGTATATAGAATCTATAAGTGTCTCTGATACACATACAATGACTAGAAAATCAGAATGGTATAAATAGAAGCTATAAGTGTCCCTGATACAAATACAAAGACTAGAAAATCAGAATGATGTAAATAGAATCTATAAGTGTATCTGATACACATACAAAGACTAGAAAATCAAAATGGTGTAAATAGAAGCTATAAGTGTCCCTGATACAAATACAATGACTAGAAAATCAGAATGGTGTAAATAGAAGCTATAAGTGTCTCTGATACACATACAAAGACTAGAAAATCAGAATGGTGTTAATAGAAGCTATAAGTGTCTCTGATACACATACAAAGACTAGAAAATCAAAATGGTGTAAATAGAAGCTATAAGTGTCCCTGATACAAATACAAAGACTAGAAAATCAGAATGATGTAAATAGAATCTATAAGTGTCTCTGATACACATACAAAGACTAGAAAATCAGAATGACGTATATAGAATCTATAAGTGTCTCTGATACACATACAAAGACTAGAAAATCAAAATGGTGTAAATAGAAGCTATAAGTGTCCCTGATACAAATACAATGACTAGAAAATCAGAATGGTGTAAATAGAAGCTATAAGTGTCCCTGATACAAATACAAAGACTAGAAAATCAGAATGGTGTAAATAGAAGCTATAAGTGTCCCTGATACAAATACAATGACTAGAAAATCAGAATGGTGTAAATAGAAGCTATAAATGTCCCTGATACACATACAAAGACTAGAAAATCAGAATGGTGTAAATAGAAGCTATAAGTGTCCCTGATACAAATACAAAGACTAGAAAATCAGAATAATTTGAGATGTTTAAAATTTTTAGATTCTAATCCCACTTCTATTTGAAAGTTAAATTGTAGGCTTTAAAGCATGGAACAGAAAGATCATTTTCAGTCATTTATAGTCTGGATAACTTCCTTTTGAAGTGTTGGTTGTTATTCATTAAAGGAATATTAAGATCGATTGTCTGTCTTAAAAGTGCAGATTTTTTTTTCGACTGATAACTCGGTCAATGTTTAGTGAAGTTTGATTGTCATCTCCTAAGTTAGGACATTAGCAGCTATCTCAAAACAAAAATACTCAAGGTACCAAGACTAGGTATATTCTTTGATAGGGTGTAAGAAGCAGGCCATGTCTTTTGGAAACGATCTCAGCTCTAGGATAGGGTCTATCCTTGAAACAGTGTTAGAAGTTAAGACCCTAGAACATCCAAGCGCTTAGATCATTTTGAGGCTATGATTATCAATACAATGGAACATAGGAGAAATAGATACACAATTTATGGATTTAGACATAATTTTTACTTCTTTTACAATGAGACATCTTAACTATAAGACAAGATCTCGAGTCTTTAATCCTGTCTAGGTTGAAGGGCAGTTAGAGTTCAATCAATTTATCTTTCTTGTGGCTAATTTCTTGTCAAAACCATGATTAAAATGTCTAGCAAGAGGAGATAACTTAATGAATTAATTGAGGTTGAAATTGAATTATCTGCCCTTGACCAGGTAGTCTATGAGAGTAGGAGACTGCTATCTAGTAGAGTATGTTATAAATGGTGATGTTCTAATGAAATATATTGATGAGTAAATATACTATGAATTATTTTCACTCCTTCACCTCTGTTGACCTCTGGCCATTCACTTATATAATCATACTAGAGATGTGCAACAATTCTTATCATTCAACTGTTTGTTCTATGAATCATTGAGATTTTGTATCTTATGTAAGGCTGATGGTTATTGTTTAAGAATATACATGTTTTACTGAGGATGTTACCAAAATATGAGTTTATTTTTGCAAAAATGGACAATTACTTGTTACCATTGGGATGAGCTATTGCTCTTCGCTCTTGTTCTTAAAAATTGGTTCAGTTTTTATCTTGTTAACACTCTTGAAGGCACAATTCTTGACGGATTTTGACAAAACTTTAAGAAAGTGTGTATAATAACTCAAGGATGAACAGAAAATAAAAAAAGAACTGAAAAATATTTATTATAAGATATTGCCAAATAAGTTTACAATATTTACCACCTGGTGGAGCTCAATTTCTTGCATCAGTACCACTTACCACTTTTTAGAATAAAAGTTTATATGTTGGACTTCCTGCAAGAAAGAAATACTGTGGAAATTCAGTATTTGGACGAACATCTACACAAAATATTTATCATTCCTCCGCTCAGTTTCAATGCACATCTCTATCTAGCTAGTCACACAGAATGCACATCTCTATCAGGAAAGATGAAAGACATTGCACATCTCTATCTATTAAGTTACCAGAAGTAGTATTTTCTAATGAAGGAAAAGAAGTGGAATTAATCCTTTTTGTCAGGCAATCTGTCTCAATGGCCACCAGACTTAGTCTCAGAATCAGTAAATTGGAACTCAATGATAGAGCTTTCAGGCATTCCACTCTTTTTTATCTTGTTGACTTGGCATCTAACCCTACTTGAACAATATTACTAGACTTAGGTACCCAGCCTGATTATAGTCATCTAATTTATATTGGATCAACAAGTCTTTATTGTAGATAAGATCGTCTAGCCTTGTTGGATTATGATTATATGTAATAAGAGTACTGGAGGTTCAAGATGATTAGAGAAACTTCTTAAGGCTTCTAGTGTTTACAATAATTTAGGATCAGTGATAAAAATTTAAAGCAACATGCCCATCAGATACAGTGAGGTTTCTATGGGGGAGAGGCTTTGTTCCCAGCCCTGTCGCCAGGAATCAATTGATGCTGGGGCTCAGATTTAAAGGCCCAGAGAACTCATATCTGACCATTTTTGAGGTTCCAAAAACGTATCAAAATCTCTATCGTTTTTATTTTGTACAAAGACATTGTAAATGAATCAATCTCTGCTGAAATGAAAAAGGTTTGCTGGGGCTTAATTCTCCCTTGCTGGGGCCCAGCCCCCACGGACCCCACCCTCCTCTATTTATTACCCAGAATTTTGATTTGATTCCCAATTTTAAGAATGATGATATTTTATATTTTCAGGTATGCTAGTAATGCTGATCACCTATCTACAGATGATTTATTGTTATTTTTAGAGGCAGAACAAGGGGTGAGTACTTCACAAATTCAGGGTACAGAATAAAAAGTATCTCTTAAATGTAGTATGCGATTCAATTTTCAGCAAAATGCGCTGTAGTTTTCATCAGTAGAACTGTATTTTTTTTTTTTAGATTCTAATTTAGATTTTGTTATAAGAGTAAAACTAATTATATATCAAACTATTTATAAGATTGGGAAACTTAAAACCAGAGATCCTGTTAAAACTAACCTTGTAATTTCATCACATAGAACAAAAAAACCGTAAAGATTAATTTGTATCCTGAAATTTCATATAAAATATTAACATGATAAATAAACTGCCATTACAGCCTTGGGTCAGTTGTAAACATAGATTATCTGATATCTGTAGTTTTTAAATGTTTTGAATATTGAAGTTAAGATGAATGAATTTGATAAGTTATCTTGAAATATTTACATTTTATTGTCACGTGCTACAGTGAACCCATGTGAGAAATTTGCATTTATTTACCAATGAAAATGAAAATGTCCCCTAATTCATGGTAGTTAACAAGGTTTGTTAGTTTGCTTTTCATTCGAATTAACACATGAAATTCTGTGTTCATCAACCAATGAACGCAAAAAAATCTACATTCAATCCTTAAATGTAAGTAAGACATGGAAAAGAGGTTTAAACTTCTGCCAGTTGATGAACTGGTACAGTAATTTGATAATTGTTCTAAAAGCGACTGCTTTTGAATGTGGCAGACACATAGGCTTAATTAATTTTACTTTTTATGAAAGCATGATAGCTTTAATTATTGGAACATTAAAAGCCTAACAAAATGAATCAGTCTGATCATGCATGGTGATGCCAAGAAAAGCTTCAAGGTTTTTTTCTGTTCTCTGTAAATATTACAGATATTTTAGAACCATATTTCTATTGACACAAGACAAGGAATGTTTGTTCATTGACAGCCATTCATTATTTCATCATTTTTAATGTCATTACTTCAGGGCTAATAATTCTTACTTAAAGTGCTCTTAGGCTATAAAAATCAATCGTAGAAAGCATGGAAGATAAATAGCCTTCAGAGGGTGAATGATAATCGAATAAAGTCATATTGATAATTAGAAAAAATTGCTGTTATCGCAATAATGCAGTTCATGGACAACAACCTTACAATGGCACATTGAGTAATGTTCAAATGGTTTAATTATATTTTTGAACTTAATGTCTCATTTTCTTTAAAACAAAGGAAATATTTGATGGGTAAAATATTGTTAAAACTTGTTCAATATGATGTCAACAGCCCTTTCCGTTTATACCATAAAATACCAGAATTTAATCGCAGAATTATGTAGCTTTGATTAATCATGTATTCAAAAAGATATTTTATTCCATCTCATTATAGATTTATATCAGAACTTCCAGCCCTGGGCATTATTAAACATTCAGAACTAATACTTGTTAATCTGAAACTCTTCTTACAGTCACTGGTTCAAATTTAATCTCATCTCTCATAACAGTGGTGGCTCAGTGAGTTAGACGCTTGCTCACTAACCTGAAAGAACAGGGTTCAATCCCGGCAGAGGTCAAGATAATACCTTCAGATTTTTCAATCTAGTTTCCCCTGTCAGTGATGCAGGTAAGGGGCTGACATGGAAAAAGCGTCTAGTCGTTTGGATTGGACAATAAAAAAAGACAGAAAAGAGCAGACTAATACCGCTGTCTTAGCAAAATTTCCCTCATTGAACACTGCATGGCGTTGCCCGTCTTCATTAGCCCACATGGTGCAGAAAAGTAGGACGTAAAACTCCATTCATTTCATTTCTCATAACACCCTCTAGGTTGGCTAAGAAAGGTACTGGAGGTATGATTGAAGTTACAGAAGTAATATTTATTATTTTACAACTCTACTTATACTCACTGGTTCAAATTTATACTAATTACTTTTTTATCTGTCTCCTAACAGCTTGTTTTTATACATTTAATTAAAACATTACACCCTCCAGGTAGACTTGGACATGGCTCTGGAGATATTATCTAACAGAATATATTTTATGTCTGAAACCAATTTCATATTCACTTGATCAAATCTAAACTATCTGTCCATTTGACTCTCTAGGTTGGCTAGGAGGGAGCCGCGGTGGCTCAGCGAGTTGGAGGCTTACTCGCTAACCTGAAGTTCGAGGGTTCAATCTCGGCATAATTTGAGATAATACTTTCAGATTTTTCAGTGATGCAGGTAAGAGGTGCTGGCATGGTTGTTCAGATGGGGCAATAATCCAAGGTCCCTTGTGCTACAGGATTTGCGTGTTAAAGATTCCTTGACAGTTGGAAATCAAAAAAGAGTAGGCTAATGCCGTTGTCCTGGCAAAATTTTATATTTTCTCTTAGTAGAGAATTTGAACAAACAAAAAGATATAGGATTTAGGAGCCATAATTCTTATGGAGAATTAAAACGTGATGTCATTAAGAAGCAGTTCAGAGAAGTCCCCATTGTTTATCCCAAAATATTAAAATGCTCAGAAATTGGCTAATTTCCAGGAAACCACAGAAGGAAATAACAAGGTTAATGATAGACTGGAAGATATGATTTGGTACAAGCTTTGATTGTTGTCTGGGTCTTGCCAGACGTTGTTTTCAAGTCAAGACAAACAGACTGATTGTCCACATGATTTAAAGGGAACAGTCGACATTTTCAGGGATTGATTTAGGTCTTTATTGTGCTTTAATAGTCAAGAAGTACTAAACGCATGAAAATCACATAATCTCTTCAAATATACCTCAAACTAGAAATTTCACTCTTTATTTCTATATATGTGTTTTCTATATATGGCATAGTCTCACTAAAATTCAAGTCAAATTTAAACTTTCAAACATGAATAATTCTGGCTACACATGGATGTGAAGGCTCAAATTTCGAAAATTATCTGTGAACACTATTACTACGTATGTAAGCTAAAAATATTCCTGTTTCTGAAACTAAGATATGATTGGTCGTACAGATAGTGAAGGTGCTCCTTTAAAGTGGTACTACGTCTTAGAAATAACATAAAATTTAAGAATTTTTAACTTGGCGAATAAGAGACAGTAGATATACCTGGTGTCATAAATAACATAACAGGATCCTTATATAATCCGATAAATCCAAATAACATAAATATGCAATTAACTATTGAAAAACACTTAATATCAAGATTAAGATTTTCCAGATTTTACAGGGATTCTGTTGTAACTTTATGACACCAGGTAAGTTCACTGATGAATATATACTCATATTGACCATTCTTGAGAATTTAAATTTTATGTTCATTCTAAGACGTAGTATCACTTTAAAATAAACAATGTTGCTAATGACAAAATTGGCACAAATTTTAATGTTTCCTAGACGTTGGGAATGAAGATTGGTATTAATGTTGTGACGTGGTATTGATGTTGTGACGGAATCATAAGAACAGATATTCTGATGAGGAATAAGAAGGAAGTCACAGGAGAGAATATTGAGGTTAATGATAGGCTAGGGAAATGGAAGACTTGATATCTAGGGTGAAAACATATAATTATTGGATAAATTTCTCTCTCACTAAATTCTAAGTTTTAGAAACATTAATAGGGATTGTAAAGAGGTTTCTTAACTTATGTGTATCTGAGACACTGATTCCAATAATTGGCACCATTTCCATTTCTGTGATTCTTGCAATTTCACTAACGCTTTGTAAACATCACTATTGTATAGTTTCTAATAATATCTAATAATAGCCCTATGAAGCAGTGAGTTCATATAAAGCTTTAGTAGAATAGCCCGAAAACTGAAATGATGCAAATTGATGCTATCAGTGTCCCCGATACACATGAGAAATTTAGAAAACCTCTTCACAATCCCTTTAAAAACTCATTCAATAATCATTAGAAGTGAGGTGTGGTCTTAAACTTAAAATGAGCAACAATGACACATTTATTCAGATGTTTTTGGAAATTGAGGTGTGGCATAGTATTACAAAGTATTGGTATATATATCTTGACTAGCCTGAGAATCAATAATGATGTATTTAACTGTTTGGGCTGGATCTTTTGAAATTGGGTTTTGGATCAATGAATGAGATAAATGTTGTGAAGGTTGACCACACAGAATGTGGCCTTGAATGTATATGGTTATTTTGGTTTGATCAAGGTTGAGAGTCTGGGAAATTGAGGTTTACCTGAAATAACATTGAATGAATCTTATAATAATCTTACTGATTTGCAAGAACACTGCAGAAATTTGTAACGAAAAGAAACTGAATTTTACAGCCTACATTTCTGAACCCCTTCGGGCAAAGAAAGACAAGCTGCATGAATTTAGGCAATTGAAGATGGATGGTCGTCATAATTTTATACTATGCCACACCTAAACTTCAAAGAACATCTGAATAAACGTGTCATTGTTGCTCAATTCATGTTAAAGACCACACCTCACTGTTAATGATTATTGAATGAGTTTTTTAAGGGGATTGTAAAAAGGTTTTCTAAATTTTTTATGTGTATCAGGGACACTGATTCCATCAATTTGCACCATTTCTATTTTCAATCAGACACCTGCAATTCCGCTATTCAGAATTCTGAAAATTATTGGGCCATTTTTGTCAATCATGTTTCCAGAATTTGTATAAAAACACACAAATTGATGATAAAATCTCTTGACATCAAATGTTCAAATTTGATTTGTGTCAAGATGTTATGAAAAGAAAAATTTTTTTTAGCCGAAAGCAAGTTAACAAATTGAGGTTGATTGCTGCTTAATCCAATATGGCCGCTTTATGCGTCTGCTAATTGGTGATTTAATGACATCAGCAGTGTATAGTTTTGTGAATGAAATCTATAATAAAATTACTTCATTGACTCAGAGAATAAAAATATCAGATCTGAAGAAAAATGACTAAAATAACCAGTTGTTATAGAAAATTCTTGATTTTATTTAAGCAGGAAAATGAATTTTTGACTCTGAATTATATGTTAAAAAAGATGGGTTTTAAGAAAATATGATACAATACAAGCCAAGGTCACAAATCAAACCCTAATCGGTTCTAAAAAACATATATGGATACACCAGTATAAGGTTTTACAAGAGATACTCTCTCATAGAAGCACTGACCTAGGTCACAAGTAGGATCTCTGGATTTCAGCATTGGAAAACATCAATTGACAGTTGTCATTTTATTAACTCATTGTTTCACATGCACATACAGGCAGTGAATAAATAGCCATGAAAAGAAGTACTATAATTTTAATAGCTTTTGTTTAAATTTTTATGGTAGCCGCGGTGGCTCAGTGAGTTAAACGCTTGCTCGCTATCCTGGAGGTCCAGGGTTCAATTCCGGCATAGGTCGAGATGTTACCTTCAGATTTTTCAACCCAGTTTCCCCCTGGCAGTGATGCGGGCAAGAGGGGCTGATATGGAAAAAGCATCTAGTTGTTCGGATGGGATAATAAACCGAGGCCCCGTGTGCTACAGACTGTGCACATTAAAGATCCCTTGACAGTTGGACATTGAAAACGAGCAGACTAATGCCGCTGTCCTGGCAAAATTTCCCTCATTGCACCCTGCATGGCGTTGCCCGTCTTCATTAGCCAACATGGTGCAGAAAAGAAAGACGTAAAACTCCATTCATTTCATTTGAATTTTTTATATAAATCCAATGTTTTTATATAGTATAGGCAGCAAGTCCCAGCATTTAAAGATTCTTGTGCTGATACAGGCAGCGTAATCAAAAAAATGAAAAAGAGAACTTGTTTTGCTTTTGTTTCAATTTGATATATAAATATAACGTGTTGATATAGTTTAGGCAAGCATTTACCTAGATTGAGAAGACTTATAACTTTAAATAAATAATGAATTGAGAATCGTGGAATTTATTCTTACTGTAATTTAATTGGAAGCCATGTTTTATTGTGAAAACAAGTCTGTTAATGTGTTATTAAAGGTCAGAATGTTCTGTAATATCGACCAATCAGATGCCATGAAAGGTTAAAGTGTTAAAGTGCTATCGTCAATGAACTGTTTATATTAGAATTGATTGATTAACGCTGTGATTTAAATTATAAAAACTCTCGAGTCTTCTACATGTTTTGTTGTTCGTTATTTCTCAACTTTTCAATCAGCAGAGATCAATAGTCTGGTTTTTATTTCTTCTTTGAAGAAAATTGATCATGGTTTAATGTTTAGTGCAGAAAAGTAAAACATAAAGTTTCATTTGTTTCATTTCTGATTAACAATATCAAGGTTCTTTGAAGCATAATTCAATAGTCTTTCATATTCAATCTTGAAAAAATTGATAATGTTTCAAAGTAATTAACTGAATCAGGTGCAGAATAGTAGAATGTAAAACCTCAATTTATTTCATTGGAGTTAATATAGATCAAATCAGGTGTAGTAAAGTAGGATTTCAAGCTGTTCTTTTATATTAAAGAGACAGGTGTGCCACTTGGTGGGTTGATTTGATTCTTGAATATATGTAATTAGACTTCAGAAGTACTAGAAATGTACAAAAATTGCATTATTCCTTCAAAAATATCTCAAACTAGTAATTTTACTCACTATTTCTATATATGTCTTTTGATTTGAAGGCTCAAATTTCAACTGTGAGCTGTTAACACTATTACTGATTGGCTCAGCTAAAAAGTTCCTGTGTCTGAGACTAAGGTGCGATAGGTAGAATAAAATGGTGCATCTGTCCCCTTAAGGTTTTCTAACTCTTTGCTTTTGCTCCAAAATTATTGTTGTAGCAAATTGTTCTAAAAACTGGATATTTGATTGGTCCAATTTCAGCACCAATCAATATTTACTTCCTGAAATAATTTTAGTCAGTATTTTTTACTCAAGAGGTTATTTGTATTTTAATAACATAAAAACCTGGAATTGATATTAGACTTGATTAGTCTCATTATCATTTTAATTACCTCCCTTGGGAGCAACTATCTAATTGGTCTTCTGTCAATACTGTATACCAATTATCAAACAAGCAGGACAATTAGTCTTAAGAAGCTTCATTGAAATCAAAGTTATTATTACTAAAAAACATTCAAGGGGAGTCAGAGGTTAATTTGAAAGATTATTCTTTCAATATTATTACATATTTACAAAGAAAAAAAGCCTTTTTTCAAAAAATGTTTTTTAAATTATGGGCCCCTTCCTCTTGTAGAGCCACGACTGCTGTATTCCCTTGTTATTTTAGTTTTTCAGTATCGTCAACTGTTTTTTCGGATTTCTGTTGTTTTTTTTTTTGAATTATTGTTATAAGAAATTTTTGTTTTTTTATTTTTCCAGATGCAACGAGTTACAAAAGATAAATGTTTAGAAATTATCTCTCATTTTGAACCAACCAAAGAAGGTCGCGGAAAAGGACATCTGGGAATTGATGGTAAGTTACAGACAGACTGTTTTACTTGCTGATATAATTAATTCTATTATGTTTTAAATATAAACCATTTTGTATATAGATACAGTCGAAACAGACTAATATAAGCCTTATGCTTGTCTCAAGATCAAATATATTGTCTTATTTTTATATTATATGTCATGTATATCCTGCAGAAATAAACATTGTTTTAACCAAGTTTACAGTCATGATAGGGATTGTAAAGAGGTTTACTAAACTTACTATATGTTTCGGAGACACTCATAGCAAGGATTGATCTCATTCCAATTTTCAGTCAGAAATCAGTGGGGTTGCAATTCCACAAAAACTTATTGTTTTTCGTTGCTTAGGTTCACTGATTTTTTCAAATTTGTAATTTTCAAATTAGGTTTCACAGCCAACCTGTTATCTGAAGAATGTGATGTTGTTATTTTGTTATTACAGGTTTCACAGCCTACCTGTTATCTGAAGAATGTGATGTTGTTATTTTGTTATTGCAGGTTTCACAGCCTACCTGTTATCTGAAAAATGTGATGTTGTTATTTTGTTATTACAGGTTTCACAGCCTACCTGTTATCTGAAGAATGTGATATTGTTATTATTTTGTTATTGCAGGTTTCACAGCCTACCTGTTATCTGAAGAATGTGATATTGTTATTATTTTGTTATTACAGGTTTCACAGCCTACCTGTTATCTGAAGAATGTGATGTTGTTATTTTGTTATTACAGGTTTCACAGCCAACCTGTTATCTGAAGAATGTGATGTTGTTATTTTGTTATTGCAGGTTTCACAGCCTACCTGTTATCTGAAGAATGTGATGTTGTTATTTTGTTATTACAGGTTTCACAGCCTACCTGTTATCTGAAGAATGTGATGTTGTTATTTTGTTATTGCAGGTTTCACAGCCTACCTGTTATCTGAAGAATGTGATGTTGTTATTTTGTTATTGCAGGTTTCACAGCCTACCTGTTATCTGAAGAATGTGATGTTATTATTATTTTGTTATTACAGGTTTCACAGCCAACCTGTTATCTGAAGAATGTGATGTTGTTATTATTTTGTTATTACAGGTTTCACAGCCTATCTGTTATCTGAAGAATGTGATATTGTTATTATTTTGTTATTGCAGGTTTCACAGCCTATCTGTTATCTGAAGAATGTGATATTGTTATTATTTTGTTATTGCAGGTTTCACAGCCTATCTGTTATCTGAAGAATGTGATGTTGTTATTTTGTTATTGCAGGTTTCACAGCCTACCTGTTATCTGAAGAATGTGATGTTATTATTTTGTTATTGCAGGTTTCACAGCCTACCTGTTATCTGAAGAATGTGATATTTTTGACGAAGAACATAAAGAAGTGTGTCAGGATATGACTCAATCTTTAACTCATTATTTCATCTCTACTTCTCATAATACGTAAGTATTACCCACCCTCACTGAATTGCATTGGTGCCCGTTCCCTACCTTAACAACTTGTATCCTGCCGGAGACTGGCATTAGCCTGCTCTTTTTCGATTTCCAACTGTCGAGGGATCTTTAAGGTTCACAGCCTGTAGCACACCTTGGTGTGCCTTGGTTTATTGTCCCATCCAAATGACCAGACGCTTTTTTCCATGTCAGCCCTTCACTGACAGGGGGAAACCGGGTTAAAAAATCCAAAGGTATTATCTCGACCTATGCCCCGGGTTGAACCCTGGACCTTCAGGTTAGTGAGCAAGTGTCTAACTCACTAAGCCACCACGGCTCCCCCCTCTAAACTAAACGATACCCCTATTATACTATCTTGCCCTGTCTATAAATCCTACATTCCACTATTTTGTTCCAAATGGCTCTATTTATTCACAAAACTCTTGACTGCCGTGATTTATAGCAAGCCTGGCTTTTTAATTGCCTCTTTAGTATGAAACAAGAAAGGTTGGGAAATCTGGACTGGATAATTAAGGCTATCATGTGATTTATTGTGGACATTAATGTTCCTAGACTGGATATAAAAGACTACTGAATGATTTCTTCGATAAAATCTGTCCCATTATTTTAGCAATTCAATGAGTTCTCTCTCTGCTGTTTTTATTTTTTATGGATTAGAATGTTCAGAAAGTTATTTATATTATATTTACAACAGGTGCATTGACAAACATATTCTCTTTTTTCAAAAAAGGCCAAATCAGTATTTTTTGATAAAAAATCTGATTATCTGTGCAGACGAGTCGAATGGAATGATGCGGAAATAAAATCTGTTCTAGCTAGACGATTCTGTCAATCAAAAACCTCGTCCAAAGAATGGCGAAATCAGGCGTAAAAGTTGTATAGTAGTGGACTCCTCCAAAGAGAAGTACCATCTGGTGTTTTAAAAAGAGTAAACATGGTCTGTTTCGTGCTCAACATCTGCCACTACTAACCTCTTAAGATGATTTACCCAGGTAACTGGACTTTCAGACACTGACAAAGATTAGAAACCACACAACCATGTGTTAGTAATACCCAAGCAAATGACATCATATATTAAAATTTCAACACTTTAACCTTCTGCGCTACGACCTGTTACATAAACTAGTCTTGGTATATAACCAATCTGTTGTCAATCAATATACTAGTGTAAATATGATGTCATGTCAAGATTGCACCACTCTAACCTACTGCGCTACAACCTGTTATAAAACCAAGTCGTGGTATATAACCAATCTGTTGTCAATCAATATACTAGTGTAAATATGATGTCATGTCAAGATTGCACCACTCTAACCTACTGTGCTACAACCTGTTATAAAACCAAGTCGTGGTATATAACTAATCTGTTGTTAATCAATATACTAGTGTAAATATGATGTCATGTCAAGATTGCACCACTCTAACCTACTGTGCTACAACCTGTTATAAAACCAAGTCGTGGTATATAACCAATCTGATTTCAATCAATATACTAGTGTAAATATGATGTCATGTCAAGATTGCACCACTCTAACCTACTGCGCTACAACCTGTTATAAAACCAAGTCGTGGTATATAACCAATCTGTTGTTAATCAATATACTAGTGTAAATATGATGTCATGTCAAGATTGCACCACTCTAACCTACTGTGCTACAACCTGTTATAAAACCAAGTCGTGGTATATAACTAATCTGTTGTTAATCAATATACGGGTGTAAATATGATGTCATGTCAAGATTGCACCACTCTAACCTACTGTGCTACAACCTGTTATAAAACCAAGTCGTGGTATATAACCAATCTGTTGTCAATCAATATACTGGTCTTTCTCTACTCAATTATGTAATAATCTAAGTTTCTGCCGCCACTTTAATTCATTTTCCTTTCGTTCCACAATTCAATTAACCTCTGTCAAGTATTAGACAAGGTAGACAACTCATGTAATAAATAAACTTTAAGCATGTAATTTTTACCCCAACTGAATCTCATTAAGTCAAAACTTCTTGTACTGGAAGAGAAAATTGGTTTTTGAATTTTCCATATACTTTTCTTCGAGAAAGTAACTGACTTTGGGCCACAGAATTTTTAATGTAAAAAGGGGGGATGGCTGGGTTTGATTGGCTAACAGCAATTCCTACTGTAAGAATGATAAATTTGAAAGTGGGGGCAGAGAAATCTGGGCCAGCCTCAGTTATGCATCAAATTCTCCCACCACCCTCCTCACTCATTTAAAAGGATTAAACTCCCCCCGTTTTGTTATTGTTGTTATTGTTAATGAAATGTGACGTCTGTTTTGTAGGTATTTATTAGAAGATCAGTTAAAGGGGCCGTCAAGTATAGACGGGTATATATCAGCGTTAAAAAAAGGTTGTCGATGTTTAGAACGTAAGTAGAAATTTTTACTGCTGACTTGGGTTCTATTTAGGGAGAGGTTAAGACAGACCTAACTTTCATATATGACATCCCTGTTTTATTTGTATTGGCGACTGTTAAAGCTTATATTACATTCCATTTTACAGTCAGACATCTGTCATTTTCTAAAACTAAGCATTTATGATGTCATTATCGCAAAAGTTGCTAATGTCTTATTGCAATAGTGACATCAGAAAACATAAGTAGTATTAGTGCTTTCTTATTTACAGCACTACTCCAATTCGTTCTGTAGTACTCTGCCTTGCTACTACTAACATTAGTTGAATCAAACATTTTGACTGAATATGGAAATGTTGCAAATTGTGTTTTCTGTGTCTCTGATACACATTAAAAGTTAAGAAAACCTATTTACAATCTGTTTAAAAGAAGTCATGTTGTTATTTCAGTGGACTGTTGGGATGGTCCGAATGAAGAACCTATAATCTATCACGGTCACACGTTAACTTCTAAAATCTCATTTCGAGGTGTTATAGAGGCAATTTACGAACATGCCTTCACCAAATCACAGTGAGTACAGACATCCTTCACATACTTTATGATAGCTAGAAAGGAATGTTGAGGGATTAGTATGTTATTGATAGATATGAATCCTCAAAAAAGTCTAAATTATATCGTGACTCCTATCTAGTCATAATTAGATACAATGCTCCTCTTTATTTCTGATATTTTTCAGCTCCACTGTAATCTGACAAGCTTTCTACCACAATCTCATTCTAATCGCATTCTTTAATCCTACCAAAGGGTGATATGTAAGAGCTGTTTCTTGATAATGCCAGAAAAAATAGGCTGGCCCTGCCCCTTCAGTTTCAAATTTCATATCTTTTAAATGCCTGTTGCTGATTGGTCCCTTGGAAATTACTCCAGCCCTCCCTTCCAATTCTTCATAGAAGTGTTGTTCGCAATAAAGACATAATTTATCATTTATTTTTCTTCAGATACCCGTTAATATTATCAATAGAAAACCATTGTACTATGAAACAACAAGAAAAAATGGCAGATATTTTAAAAGCAGTGTTAGGTGATCGTCTAGAAACTTCACAAGCAGATGAGAATCTTACTCAATTCCCATCTCCTGAATCTTTTAAAGGAAAAATACTTGTAAAGGTTGGTTTAATCAAAATGGCAAAATAAAAGTAATGGGTTTTACAAACTAAATATTTTACCCAAGTTTTGAATTAGAGTGATGTGGTATAGGCTTCGATGGACAAGACAAACATCTTGGTGAATAAGATGATCATGTTAATGTGTCAGCTGTCAGGCTAGAACGTGCTGTTAACTCTTTCTCTCTCTCTTTCTGTTGGTATAATCTCAATCTGCTTCCAACTTACAGCTTATATGTCAGATTTGAACGACATATAGTCACTTGCCATTACATCTGATGACGACACGTGTATATTGTGTTGAAACGTTATGTGCCCAACCTTATTAAAGAAGTGTGTTATATTCCATAATATTGTCTTGTGTTTTGTTATATAGCTTATATAAAATATCAACAGTGGGTTGAAATAACAGTATATAAGTTGTTGACAAGTAACTGAGATCATGAGATCTTGCTTGCAGGAATTTAATTCACCGTGATATTTTCAGGGAAAGAAATTACTAAGTAAACAGGAAGTGACGGAGGGTTATGTAACAGATGAAGACGAGGGAGCAGAAACAGAAAAAAAGAAAAATAATAAACGGGTAAGAGAACTGTGAATTATTGAATTTTGTAATCTTTGTGGGCGAGGGTTTGTTCGTAAAAGTACATTTCAGGTGCTAAATTGGGGAGTTCAAGTTAGAACATGGTTCAGAATGCATTAAAGGTCAGCCAAAAAAAGTTGGTGAAGACTGAATTCTAAAGAAACCTAGAATTGGAAAAGAACTACTTGATCTGATCTCACCAATTGAGTGTTTCCTTTAAAGGGACAGATGTGCCATTTTGGGTGATTGATTTCAGTCTTGAAAATATGTAAATAGTCTTCAGAAATACCAGAAATGTTAAAAAATCGCATGATTTCTTTAAAAATACTTCATACTATGAATTTTTGCTTACTTTTTCTATATATTCCTTTTCTATATATCACAGATTATCAAGTCGTCATTTTCAAACGCAGATAATTCTTGACACACATGGATTTGAAGGCTCCTTTAAGGAACATCTTAAGGAACATTTCTTGTCTTGTTATTTTTTTAAAGAAGTTATAAGAATTTTTTGTTTGTCTCTATATTATATATTAAATATTATATATTATATTTTACAGGAAGGTTCGATGAAGAAACATAAACTTGCCAAAGAATTGTCTGATTTAGTAACTTATTTTATTTCTAAAAGATTTGAAAGTTTTCAGTCCTCTCTAACTCAACGTAAGTATTTCTAATAATAGTTTACAGATATCTTAATAGAACAGAACTAGATATAAAAACCAGAGAAAGAAGCAACTATATTTTACAAAGATAACAACTTAGTTTCACAAGGATCCTTTCTACCAGCTGGTCCTTGGCCAAACCTCTTGGTATTGATCTTTCCCAGATTATCTGTACTCATTTACAGCTGGGTTGCCTGGAATCATGAGTGAAGATAATTTATTAAAGGTCATCGGACTTTCATGGGTCCATTAAGAAGTTTTTTTTTTGTATAGAAATTGTATTTGAGATGTGTTCATTCACTGACTTCCAAATTGTCAAAATTTCAATGTCATGAATCTTTAAGTTTTTAATGTATTTAAGATTTTGTTTTTTTCAGAGAATGTGTGTGAAATGTGTTCATTTAGTGAATCTCAAGCCTTAAAACTGGCCATGTCGTGTCCCGAGGAGTTTGTTAATCATAATAAACGTTATCTGTCACGGATTTACCCCAACGGAATGAGAGTTGACTCCAGTAATTATAATCCTCAAGATCTCTGGAACTGTGGCTGTCAAATGGGTAGGTGACAAGTTTCTCACACCCAGAGAATATTAATTCCAAACCATGAAATATTATCAGCTTCTTTGATAGTGTTAGACGGTGATGAGAACATAGTCTCATAAAAGCACTGGCCCATGATAGTCTTGTAATACAATGTTTAGTTTTAGTAGAATTGAAAGACAAGAGATGCCAATATTTCATCGTTTTGGTGTGGAATTACAAGAACCACAGATGTCTGACTGAAAGTTGGAATGGTGAAAATCAGCACTATCAGTGTCTCAGATATAAATAAAATGTTTAGAACCTCTCTACAATCCTTTAATATGCATTGTTACTCTGTAATGGTGTATCTGTGTTATTCCAACTTGTTGATTCTTTCGTCAGTAGGGGTCCACTACTAGGGGGTATGCATTATTAGCAGAGATTGACAGAGATTTTCCTGATTGATTTAATGGTGCAGGGTGCACACTATATAAACAAAACATGCGACAATGAAATAATTTGATCTTATCTTTGATTGGTTGTTTTCCAGTGGCTTTAAACTACCAGACAGCTGGGTTGATGATGGATCTCTATAATGGCTGGTTTAAAAAGAATGGTGGTTGTGGGTTCGTATTGAAGCCGTCAATAATGAGAGAAGAGATAGCGTATTTTAGTGCCAGTACACGTGAAGTTATTCCAGGGGTTTCACCTCAAATCTTACATATTAAGGTAGGACCTTGTAGAAATATTAATAAATGTTATATCAAAATACTTGTTGTTTCAATAAGTCGTTGCTTTTATAATATTGTGTTCATGTGATTGTTGTTCATGAATTATAATAATATAGAATATGAGTACTGTAATACTTCATTTTCTGACTGGTAATACAGCAAAGAACAAAGAAATCTAGTAATTTTCTTATTTTAAATGTTCCTGATTGAGAAAATGAAATAGTACATTGCCATGGTGTTTATAATAAGGGGAATTTTGCCAGGACAGTGGCTTTAAGCTATTTCTTTTCAATACAATTCTATCAGTTTACAGCTCTCAGTGTCTGAATTGATTGTCATGTTGCTTTTAGCCCTCAAACCTGCACAAGTTGGTCATATACATTGACTGGAGACAGAGGTTAACTTGTCATCTACCAGCCAACTAGAAACCTCAGGCAAAAAACAAATGATTTTCTGGTACTGAACTGGCAATTTACTCAGGCACTCACCTAGCTTGGAACTTGGCAAAACTTCTTATCGTTCAGAAGGATTAATTCACATTAATCTTTAACTTTATTGTTTATTCCTTATTTCAGATAATTAGTGGCCAAAATTTTCCAAAGCCAAAAGGTTCAGCTGCGAAAGGGGATGTTACTGATCCGTATGTAAATATAGAAGTGTTTGGGATACCAGCAGATTGTGCTGAAGAACGAACTAGAACTATTGCACATAATGGTAAGTTTATTTCTTACATGTTACTTCGCTATAATTAGGGTAGGGATATTTGGGATAGATCAACTGGGGGATTACGTCAAAAACCAGCTGTGAATAGGTACAGATAACTCAGGAATGATCAATGCTGTTTGGTTTGGGTGTGGTCTGTTTGACAATTGAATCATCCTTGGTACAGTTTGTCTGCATTGTAAGAGAACACAAAGTCAGATTGTAATTCTGAAAAATGATACGACCAGCTGAAATTTTGCCCTGTCTGCTGCAAAAACAATTAGATGACTGTTTTACAATTTCAATTTATATTTCTACTGTTGACAGTGGACAATGTATTTTCATTTCTTCTAAAAGTTATAATCCAATCAGATTACTGTTTTTTGAAATCTTGATTTTATCCCCGTTAAGTTTTTGATGATAAGGCCCTTTAATGTTTGATATTTTGTAATTTTTTTCTTTTAGGTTATTATCCAATCAGATTACTGTTTTGTTTTTTTTTAAATCTTGATTTAATCTTTGTAAATTTTTTGAGAATTTGGCCTTTAATGTTTAAATTTGATAATGTTTCTTCTCTCTCTATAGGTTATAATCCAATATTTGATGAGAGTTTTGAGTTTCAAATTAATCTGCCAGAGTTAGCGTTAATACGGTTTGCTGTGCTAGATGATGAATATATAGGAGATGAGTTTATAGGACAATATACTATACCTTTTGAATGTATGCAGACTGGTAAGTGGATTTATCAGCATACCTTATATAATAATGAGAAATTGACAAAGGACTGAGAGAATGAGGCAAACTGTTGAATATCTGGGAGGTCTTCTGGGCAAGTTGCACCAAAACACTCTTACCTGACATCTAACTCAATCACGCCAAGCATCCTACACAAGTACAGTACAGATGTAACTATTGTATCTTCCTAAAACAAGGAACGATCCAAACGTGACATTCAAAAGTCTTGTTAAAGACCAGTCATGAAGATACCCACAGACTAGATTACCTAGTATACTGTGACTGGTTAAACTTACTTTTATTAACTATTATTATTATTATTGTTTATAACAGGCTATCGTCATATTCGACTGTTATCCTATACAGGAGGTATTATATTAAACTGTACCTTATTTGTACATATTGCTATCACCAATAAACGGGGAGGAGGTGTAAGTATATTTCATATCTTTTAACATAATATACTCACATATTGATAAACATAAATTAATAGTGTTTACACAGAACATCGAAAAAGATAGCTGAGTTGAAATGACATTGACCAATATTAGCCTTGATTTGACCTAATAAAACAGAAATATTGTAAAAGAAGGGTTTGGTAGAGCCATCATTGAGCTAGCATTATTGCTGATTGAACTGTGATCACTGATAAATTGACATCTGAATAAGAAATGGCTGTCTGCTAGCAGCTAAAAAAATGCAACAAAGAAACTTTGTCATAAGTGTTGAAGCTTATTACAATTTTTGGGAGAAATGGGTCTAGTTAAACAGTTTGACAGCTGTGTTAAATCTTAATTTTACCCTCTGTGAAAACCTCTCTGTTTACTAATGCTACTAATAATAACCCCTGTACTAATATAAAGGGTATTTTTACCTCTATTTCCAGAAGAGCTACAAACGGGGCATGTCAGTCAAGAAAACCAAACGTAGTCGAGATTATACCAGTATGAAATCTATCGGTGTCAAGGCCATTGATGAAACTTTTAAGGTAATGCTTTATTGTCATCTGTTGGTTAGTTTTTGGGTTATTATCTCCAGGAGAACTATACCACAATTTGAGCCACATGGATCTGCTGATTTCAATGATTGATGATGTGAATTATATATACTAGTAGATGAAAAACAAACTTATTATATTTATGGCTTATTATTTTAACCAGTGGTGGCTCCCCGAGTTCACATTGTTTTCAAACTGAGATTTTCGTGTGTCTATTTCAGATTGCTATCCAGCCTTTACGTGATGGAACAGATCTTCGAGATGATGTCCAGATATCTCTGGCAGCGTTTAAAGAAACTTGTGGTCTGGCACCAATAGCTAATATTAAACAATGTATTCGTCTCCTAGCAACACGTATAGCGAACTGTGGTGAACAATCGTCTTTAACTTATGTTATGAAAGGGGAGGTAAGAATGAAGTAATTTCAAACAACAAACTTATAAAGGTGATGGATAGAAACTATAAAATATTTTTACTGTGTTTCACTATAGCAGACAAACTGCGTATATGAGACTGAGAAAATTAATATTCATGAGGTCACGTGAATTTCAAACAGCCAATCATCTTGCTTGCCAAGCATGTGGCTATATTTTCACATGCACAAAACACATGAGTATGAAAAATTCTGTTTTGATTGGTCGAAATTGATTTTTAGACACACCTCAGTGCCATCTATTTATTGATAGGGGGTGTGGTTTTCAGGACAATGATAGCAGCAAGTTGAAAAAAATCAAAAACAAATTTAATGTTACTGTTATATTTTCAGTATCCCTGTTTAGAAGCACAAGGAAATTTACCAGATATTTTACGAAAAGCTTTAATGTCATTTGAAGATGTGAGTATGATTCTCGGAATATTTGACTTGATTAAAGGATTGATTGATAAACTGTTTATCTAAATACATTGATAAAGAAAGATAAAGATTGGCCAGTGATAGTTACCATAATGTCGGCCATTTTCTCCTTTCACAAATTATAGATGTTTATGAATTATTCTGAAATGAAATGAATGGAGTTTTACGTCCTACTTTTCTTCACCTGGGCTAATGAAAACGGCATGAATTATTCAGAGATTATAATATGATATAAGCTATTTTATTACTGTGTTATATTTTCAGTTGATATCAGATTGTAAGAATGTCATCAACAATGCTGATATGGTCCACGAAAAGGTAGAGAATTTTTTATGATTTTTACTTCTATAGGTAATCTACCCTGAAACTTGTTTTTTTGAGGTATTTATTCCCAAAAGTGTTATTAGCTGTTTTTCAGGAACATCATAATCTGGATATAGAATATCTTCTTTACTCTTTACTATCTTCCTCTTTTCACACCTATATTCATTAGAATTAGCTCAGTATATCACAAAAAATGTTATATAGTAGCCCACTGAATGTTTTAGTTTCTAAGAGACAATTTCTCTTTCATTCTTCCAGTTATTAATACAATGGCTAAAACCTAAATGAAATAATAATAATTACATAGAATAAATGAAATGAAATGATATGAAATGAATGGAGTTTTACTTCCTACATAGAATAAAAGAAACAAGTGAAAGCCAGTGTATCTTCTAGATAACAACTAGATGTGTTTATTTGATTGTTATTATTCCAGTTATTACACTGTCAGAGAGCAGGTTTAGAATGGCATGAAGAATTAGAAACAGTTTGTCAACAGGCTGGTTTACGTACAAAAAAATTAACTAAGGTAAGTAGAAACACCTTGAAATGATGATGCTACATGATATTGCTTTTAAGGTGCTGAAAAGAATGATGTAAAACTCCTACTGCACATTCCTAATAAACGACACCCACACAGTAATGGGTATTACGATGGGCCATCGCTATTCTTTACACAGGACTTTGTCATTATTACAAGGGCTAAATTCACCTTCTTCAAGAAGAGTTCCACAGAATGTAGACTGTAGAGAATGGTGTCCACCCTTGAAGAATCGTTCTCACATCACTTAATTTTACTGTTTAAATGGAAGATTTTATTGGCAGATACTCCTTGTCTGGAGTGAGAACAGAACAGTTTATTGCAGTCTAGTAAAAAGGGGCTCGTGAGAACTATTTATGTTTTTTTTAGGCAACAGAGAATTTTGCGTGGAATATCCGGGTATTAAAGGGACAGGCTGATTTAGTTCTACAGAGTAAAAAAGATTGTGAGGAATATGTTAGACAGGTTTGACATTTTTATATCTTTAGAGAAAAATACAAAATAAACTGTTTCTTCCAAACATTTTATAGTCAGATGTACGCGTTTCATGGAAGTTATTAATAATGATATCAATTTGTAAGTTCTGAACAGAAAGGAAAGATGTTTAAACCTACTGTGCTATAAAACAGATTAAAATAGTCAAGCTGCTGATGATGAAATTTATTCCTCCATCTAATTCCCTGGTTCCTAACCTGGGGGTGTTGGACTAGAGTATCAGGGGTGTGTCCAACTGGTGTTATTTTGAGTTAGGAGAGCACCTTACATCATCACATGCTGTAAATGTGTGAATAGAACAATTTTTTTGGGAGTATGAAAGGTCCATGTGATTGCTCCAAGGGTGTGAAGGCTGAAATAGGTTGGGAACCACCTGATCTAATGTATGCATCTGATGTTCAGAAAGAATTAAATAAAATAAAATATATTATTTTCAGATCAAGGAAGCTGCCGTGTCAACAGGGTTAGCCAAACAACAAATAGAACAACAACAATTACTAGAACAACAAGAACTAGATCAACAACTACAACGTCAACTCCAACAGAAACAACTACAAGTAGTCCTGGAACAGCAGGAGGCTGAGATTTGTAACAACCACAATAATTTACAACAAGTGTAGCCTTGAGAGGTTGTTTGTGCATTTTGTAGATCAACTAGCCACATGGCATTTGTTGTATTGACTTGTAAAGAAGAAGTTCCCAACTACTGGAAACAGGATGTTTGTGACACAAGACACATATAACAGACTTTCTCTTCGAAATTTGTAAAAACCACAAGAATTTACAACAAAGCGTAGCCTTGTCAGGTGGTTTGTGCAACAAGCAAGATTTAACACAACTTTCTATTGGACTAGTGTAGCCACGCTTTCAAAAACTGGAAACAAATTGAATCATGTCAGGTGGTTTGTGCCAAAAGCAACGCTAACAAACTTTTTATATAGCAACTGAAGCCACAATACATCTACTGAAAACAACTGTTGCATACCCACACGTCCTCATGGACATCACAATCATAGTTGTGTCTTGTGCAAATCATCTAGTGATAAGTTCTAGACTTTAATTTCTATGGAACACACCCTGCAATAATTTACAGATGAAGGCAAGTCCCACAACAAGATGTAGCCAAGCAAAGTTTTGTCTTGTGCCAATTATTTATTTTGGGTTAAAACCTGCTCCCAAGCTCTTAAAAACCATACCCCAAAACAATTTACAAATTGTAGTAATACCCCAAAACAATTTACAAAAGTAAAGCCGCACCTACAAATAATTTACAACAAGTGTTGGCTTGTTAATTCTACTTGGCCACTGATTACGCTTGTTAATGTGATTTGTGCCACACTTTCGATTTGTATCAGTGGAGGTATATTTGATGTGGGTGGTCGGATTACATTGGGTCTCAGAATGTAATTCATCTGAGCAATCAGACACTTTTAAAGCAGGGGTTTTCAACTTGGAGGCCAGGGTGTAATTTTCAAATATTACAGGGGTAATGAGGTGCATTGTAGCCTAGCATAAAATTTGTGGATAATTATAATTTAAGTAGTTCTATTCCTTCAGGCTGTATTCTGCATGATATAAATGATTGCATGGAAAAACCAAAGATAAAATGACGAAAAAACTAAGAATTTATAAGGGTAAAGGGGGTAATGCAATCAGAATCTTGAAAGAGATAATAGAATAAAAAAGGTTGAAAATCCCTGCTTCTAAAGACAAGGAAAATAGTAAAGTCAGAATGATACCACTACGCACTGTTAAAAGTTGTTAACATTTTTTGTTATAGTGCTTGAAAGATTCCCCAAACTTTGTTGGATGGTTATAAAAGCCTTACACAAACACTGGCCTAGGTCACAAAAAAAGTCATTATATTCCAAATGAAAATGACATCTCTTATACTGTTATTGAAATCCCTCATACAGAAATATTTAAAAATAAGTATGTTACAATTTCTTATATGATTTGACACAGATTGGTTACCAACCTTGATATTTATCAAGGAAGTGGGCGTATGTTGCTAGACAACGACTTGTACGATGTTTTGAAGAGTTCATTTTTCATAAGAAATTTTTCATAAGAAAATTAGTTTTGTTAAAAAAAAAAATCACCCTAGAATCCAATAAATATATAAAAAAGGGTTTCAGGGATTTGAGGCATGGATTGTGAAACAGAATAAACCTACAGTAACAGCAGAAAAGAAAAATCTTCTAGTAAACAGTTTAAAGTGAAGAGTTGAACATTTTTGAAGAATTTGATATTTGAAATATTTGATTTGTGTATGCTATAAGCATTTGGCTACAGGTTTATACTGTGATTTATAATCTATGTCTGAATTCCCTGTAATACAAGCTGATCTATAAAGTAATAATTTGTTTATAACTGTGATAATTCTATTATACTTTTGTTTTATTTTCAAACTAAATACCCAACCAATCATCACTTGATAAGTTACAAATTGTTACTATATGTCCAAGGGTTTCAAATGTGGTTTTCTCTGATTTTATATGTACCAGAACACTAATAGCTACTATCGTTAACATTCTGTTCTGAATGGTATTTATTTGTGACAGTGAAGTCATACTCTGGTGAAGGATTTCTAGAATAACAAGAACCACAGAAATCCGACTGGATATAAGAGTGGTGAAATGGAAACTGGCTTCAATATACATAAAATTTAGCTGTTGTTGAATCTCTTGATAGAGAATGTTACTGTATTATGAAGTTGCATCTTGTTTTGTTTTGTTTTGTTTCACCACAGTTGAATTTGTTTCATTTATTGTTATTTTGTTGATTTATATTAAAAAGAACTACTGTCTTCTTAATATTGTTGTTTAAATCAGATGATAACGCTGAATAATAGCCACCTACAAGGCTCTGTTTAAATAAAGAATTTGTCATTATAAGATCTGAATAAAATCAAATTAATTTCCAAGGATTTCAGTTTATTTCCAAATCTTATATCTGATTTTCTTTTTGGGCACAGCTATAAGAATTTAGCGTAGCTGGTTGATGAAATAGAACGAGGATTATTTCCCTTGGTTCTGCGACACGTGTCAGGTACCATAACTTTAAGATAATTCTAAATATATACTAACAACTATGATTGTGATATTATACACCAAAAATAATTTTAAAAGTTGACTCAATGTGAAAATCAAAAATTGAGAACTTCACGTGACAATATCTTTTGATTTGTAATATAGTGTTTGAAAATGTTACAAATTGTATGATAATGGTTTAACTTAATGTTCCACTATGTAATATAATGTCCCCTGATATATCATAATGTTCATGCTTATTCTTGATATGTTCAAGTTTAATGTATGATAATGTCCCCTTATGTATGCTAATATTCACACTAAATGTATGCTAATATTCACACTAAATGTATGATAATATTCACACTAAATGTATGATAATATTCACACTAAATGTATGCTAATATTCACACTAAATGTATGATAATATTCACACTAAATGTATGATAATATTCACACTAAATGTATGATAATGTTCACACTAAATGTATGATAATGTTCACACTAAATGTATCATAATGTTCACACTAAATGTATCATAATGTTCCACAATGTATCATAATGATCCCTAATGTATTATAATGTTCTGACTATGTATGATAATGTTCTTACTATGTATGACAATGTTCTATATGTATCACAGTGTTCTATTGTGTATGATAATGCTCTACAATGTATGATAATGTTCTATATGTATGATAATGTTCTTGCTCTGTATGATAATGTTCTGGCTCTGTATGATAATGTTCTGACTATGTATGATAATGTTCTGGTATGATAATGTTCTATGTATGATAATGTTCTATATGTATGATAATGTTCTACAATGTATGATAAGGTTTCATTGTGTATGATAATGTTCTACTATGTAAAACAATGTATATAATAGTTAGATTGAGGTGCAAGATATAAATGAATAGACTAGAAAAAGTAATATATAATTTATTATCCAATAAGCTTCTGTGTTCTAAGTTTATAAAGTATATACCATAAAACTTTATTATTTTAACTGTTACATTAATCTTATGATTTTATATTTCGTTAATTGCTAAAGGACATGACAATATTTTGGTTTCCTGTAGACAACTGAATTTATTTTTTTTAATCATTAAGCATTTGTGTTACCCTTATATTTCTTATTTTGTTCAACATAGACTTCATATAGCCTAGAAATGACAATATTCTATTTAGATATACTGTGTATTAATAGGGCTGGGATGTTTTCTGATGAAAGGGATTGAAAATTTGGGGTTGGCATTTCAGACCCTTTTGTTCCATAATCTATAAATACATGATCTATATCTAATATATTTTTATTAGACAATTCAATATTTTTGTTATTATTTTTCCAGTGAGCTTGGAAGGATCTGATTTTTTATTTACAAAATTAACAGCTTGTACGTGACAATGTTTGACGATTAAATTAAATTTAAAGAGAGCAATATCATATTTCTAATAATCATTTCTTTTTTATATCCCTCAATGGAACATGGAACATGGAACTTGTAAACCAAGTATCTCCATATATAATAAAACCTTGCTGAATTAGAAATTTCAGTATCAGGGTTATATATAACAAACAACATAAGGTTATATATACACAAGGGAATATTATATTATGGTATAACACACTTCTTTAAAAATAAAGAACATAACATTTCAACACAATTTACACATGTTGTTATCAGATGATATTACATGTAAATTGTGTTGAAACTTTATGTTTTTAAAGTCAATCATTAGTTTGTTTAAGTTTTTGTTACTGATTTATTATTGTATAAAATAATTTTATCTCTGTTACTATTTATAGCTGGTATTTTGTGATTCAACAGCAAAATGTGATCCAATTTTCCAGGGGAACCTCGTTTTGCAAAACCTGTTGATGAAATATTAGTATGTTTACAATGTATAATTGAAAATATGACACTTTGTTAATTTGTCTGTTGATTAAAACTAAAAGCATGTTGTTTTTTAAATGTTCAAGTTTTTGTTAAGGGTTTGGATTGAAATTAATTTGAAACAACAAATCTTCCCTAAATTTGCAAATGAATTTCTCTGACTAAGATTAAGTTATTGAAATAATGCATTTGTGGAATAGTTCATTAATAGTTTAAGGTAAACTAATTGGAAGGTAATTCTGAGTTTTTCAGGGCCTAGACAAGAAGCAAAACTCTCATAACTAGGTTAGAAATTCGGGCAACCTCAGATATATCGCCCCTCACCCCTGTCCCCCTGGGACGTAAACTTTGCTCTGCCACTGTCTACATTTAAGAAGAAATCATTGTTTTGTATAGTCAAACTTGTATTGTGTTCAGTACTATCTGTACTTAAATTACATAAACCTAAAGTAAACTGCTTGTGTTTATAGTTTGATTTATATTGGATATGTTATTATTATTCATCATGTATTCAGAATAAAGCACAGGGTATAACCAGTTTTAATGGATAGAAACCAAGACTCAAGGACTACAATACAGAATGACAAACCTATATGAGCTTAACAATTCTAATGATATTTTTTATTTCATGGTTTTATTCATAAGCTTAAAATGTAATAAATATAACACTATTAACTATTGTAATAAGACTATATCAACAGCCTTAGTCAAATCATCAAACTCATAGGGTATTTCATATGTTCTTTTCATAGGTTACAATTATATAAAATATTTTACATGTTAAAAGTTCAAAATTAGCTTGTTTCTAAAATTGTAATTAATTTGTAGTTAAAATGCTTTGTTTTTATTGAATGAAATGTTTGACGCACGACAGAATTCAAGATTTTTTCTGTTTTTGTAAGAAAATTGTAAAAAATTTAGTAACTTCTTCCTTCGTGTGCAATACTAACATTTTTTGTTATACTGTTAACAGAAGAGAGAGAAAAATAAAAAATTAAAAATAGATGCTTTGTCTTTATTTAAATACATCCATGTTAACTGAGCCACTAATTGTTCAATGAGCCATCCATTGTTGACTGAGCCACTAATTGTTGACTGAGCCATCCATTGTTGACTGAGCCATCCATTGTTGAATGAGCCATCCATTGTTGACTGAGCCATCCATTGTTGACTGAGCCATCCATTGTTGACTGAGCCATCCATTGTTGACTGAGCCATCCATTGTTGACTGAGCCATCCATTGTTGACTGAGCCATCCATTGCTGACTGAGCCATCCATTGTTGACTGAACCGCTCATTGTTGACTGAGCCACCCATTGTTGACTGAGCCATCCATTGTTGACTGAGCCATCCATTGTTGACTGAGCCACTAATTGTTGACTGAGCCATCCATTGTTGACTGAGCCATCCATTGTTGACTGAGCCATCCATTGTTGACTGAGCCATCCATTGTTGACTGAGCCATCCTTGTATGACTGAGCCATCCATTGTTGACTGAGCCATCCAATTGTTGACTGAGCCACCAATTGTTGACTGAGCCATCCTTTATTGACTGAGCCATCCATTGTTGACTGAACCGCTAATTGTTGACTGAGCCACCAATTGTTGACTGAGCCATCCATTGTTGACCGAGCCACTAATTGTTGACTGAGCCATCCATTGTTAACTGAGCCATCCATTGTTGACTGAGCCATCCATTGTTGACCGAATCATCCATTGTTAACCGAGCCAGTAATTGTTGACTGATCCATCCATTGTTGACTGATTCACTCATTGTTGACTGAGCCATCCATTGTTGACTGAGCCATCCATTGTTGGCTGTGCCATCCATTGTTGACTGAGCCATCCATTGTTGAATGAGCCACCCATTGTTGACTGAGCCATCCATTGTTGACTGAGCCATCCATTGTTGACTGAGCCACTCATTGTTGACTGAGCCATCCATTGTTGATTGAGCCATCCATTGTTGACTGAGATATTCATTGTTGACTGAGATATCCATTGTTGACTGAGCCATTCATTGTTGACTGAGCCATTCATTGTTGACTGAGCCACCCATTGTTGACTGAGCCACTCATTGTTGACTGAGTAACTCATTGTTGACTGAGTTACATATTGTTGACTGAGTAACTCATTCTTGACTGAGCCATCCATTGTTAACTGAGCGACCAATTGTTGACTGAGCGACCAATTGTTGACTGAGCGACCAATTGTTGACTGAACCATCCATTGTTGACTGAGCCATCCATTGTTGACTGAGCCACCCATTGTTGACTTAACCATCCATTGTTGACTTAACCATCCATTGTTGACTGAGATATTCATTGTTGACTGAGATATTCATTGTTGACCGAGCCACTCATTGTTGACCGAGCCACTCATTGTTGACTGAGCCACCCATTGTTGACTGAGTCACTCATTGTTGACTGAGTAACTCATTGTTGACTGAGCCATCCATTGCTGACTGAGCCATCGAT